AATGAATGGTTGTAACTCAGGGACTACCTGTACTGCAGGTTGTCGTCGACTTACAACAGTCCGTTTGGAGTTACAACGGCACTAGAAAAAGGGACTTACGACTGTTTTTCACATGACCATTGCAACACCCCCATGATCCCCTGATCAAACTACGGATGCATGGCAACTAACTCATAGTTATGATGGTTGCGGTATCTGGGGGTCATGTTTTGCAACCATTTTGCAACCCTCTGACAAGCAAAGTGCATGGGGAAGCCAGATTCATTTTACAGCCTTGTTACTAACTTACCGACTGCAGTGATTCACTTAACAACTGGGGCAAGAAAGGTCATAAAATGGGGCAAAATTCACTTAGCAACTGTTTTGCTTAGCAGTGAAAATGATGTTGGGCTCAATTGTGATCTTAAGTCAAGGACTACCTGTGTTGTAGGGGAAAAGCAGACTACAGACCTGATGTAGCAAGTGTGCTTCCTATATATAGATGCTAGCTGGATACCTGTGCTTCGCTACGAAACTATGTGGTGGGCCTTAGTTTTTGGGGAGGAAAATAAGGGGAAAAAATTCTGCCTACCAGCATCCATCGGTATTCATCTGGCTAGCGTCCTGTCAGTGTGTGAGAGAGTTGAGGGCTGTTTGGAAACTGGAGCAGTATTTGCTGTGTGAGCAAGAAGGAGACAGCCAGGAGCCTGGGCGTGGCTTAGCTCAACAGTTGTGTAAGAAAGCTACTTGGTGCTGTGAAACTGAAATTGAAACTGCAGCTCCTTGCTTGTGTTTTGCAAAAGAGATTTCTTTTCAGGCGGGGAGGGGGAGTAGAACTCCTTAGCATCAGAGCGTGTTAATAATAATAACAATATAGGAAATACTAATGCTCTGATGGTCATTTCGAAAAATCCTTTCTTTGTGAGCACCTAGAAGCCAAGAGGAACGTAGGTGCCAAATTTCAAGTTTGTAGGCTTTACAGTTCTAGAGATTTTGTGATGATGCTGAGTGGTATTTCACTTTTATATATATAGATTGATTAAAAATTGAAGGATGATGTGCTGATATTGATATGTATAATAATGTTAATCATGTAAGTCTGATTAAATGTCAAGTTTGTAGGCTTTATAGTTCTGGAGATTTTGTGATGATGCGTGAGTGGTATTTCGCTTTTATATATAGAGAGAGAGAGAGGAAGAAGGAGAAGATATAGATGATATATCTCTATATCTCTCTATATCTGTATACATAGATGGATAGATGGATGGATGGACAACCTACAAGGTCCCTTCCAACTCTTTTATTATTATTCTATATTTTTCTATTTTATGCCACTTATTCACTGTGGGTATTGTCCACCTTTCACTGACCCTGAGAAACATCTCAGCCAGGGAGCTTAAATCACACCTTGCTTTGAGAAATATAGATTTTTTCCATCCATGTGGACCATCCCTAGGGCTAGAACTCATATGGAGAAAAAATTTGCCTTACTGTAGCTTACAACCATTCTTTTAGTGGCCATTTGAAGTTACTGCGGCACTGGAAAAAAAATGACTTATGAACATTTTTCACATTTATAACCATTGCAGCACCTCCAGGGTCACATGACCAGAATTGAATAATGGAATTGGAAGGGACCTTGGAGGTCTTCTAGTCCAGTGGTTGCCAACCAGTGGGCCGCGGACCACTGGTGATCCTTGAGAAAAATTGGTGGTCCACAGAGAAATGTCCCCCCCAAAGCAATTAATCCAGGCTGCGCGGGAACACAAGGCTGCGCCGGCCACATGGCCTGCGGGAACCCAAGGCTTGCATCGTTTGCATTGCGCGCAACACGAGGTAGTGAGGGGAGGGGGGAAAGGGAGGAGGGGGGGAACTTGCCCCACTCATCCCATGCGCCTGGCCTGGCTAGCGGGCTGCTTTCCGCTTTTTCTTCTGCTTTTGGCTGCACGCAAGAAAAACAGCAAAAGTCTCTCTTTCTCTCCCCCAAACTCCACCAGAAATGGGTCTTTGGGACCTTGCAAGGCCTCCTGCTCCAAGAGGCTGCGCTGGCGAAGACTCCTTTCTGGCGGAGTTTGAGGGAGAGAAAGAAAGACTTCTGCTGCTTTCCTTGCATGAAGCCAAAAGTCTTTCTCTCTCTCTCTCCCTCCCTCCCTCCCTGAGAACGGAGTTGGATACAATATCTTGCGATCCCAAATAAAGAATGATCGATTGGTAGGAAAACAGGGTGGGGAATTTTCCTGCAGACTTTTTGGGGGATTTTCACAGGGTCTCTACAGAAGCAGCGGAGACCCTGAGAAAATCCCAAGAAAAGTCTGCAGAATGTACAAAGGGCCAGTCCTGTAACTTACTGCAACTCTGGAATATGGGACCAACTTTCCCACCAACGTCAGCAAGCCGCCGTCAGTCAAAATTCATATTAGTGGTCCGCGGGATTTAAAATGATGAGTTTGGTGGTCCCTGAGGTCCAAAAGGTTGGCGACCCCTGTTCTAGTTCAACCTCCTGCTCAGGCAGGAAACTCTATCTACCATTCCAGACAAATGGTTATCCCCTCTCTTCTTGAAAACTTCCGGTGCACCCAAAAACTTCTCGAGGCAACTTCTGTTCCACTGACGAATCAAAACTCAGATCTTTGACAGTTGACTCATCTTTATGACGGTTGCGGGATCACGCGATCACGTTTTTTGACTCTCTGATAAGCAAATGCAATGGGGAAGCTTTAACCACCATGTTACTAACTTAAAAAAAACTGCAGTGATTCACTTAACAACGTGGCAAGAAAGTATCGCAAAATGGGGCACAAGTCACTTAACAACTGTCTTGCTTAGCGATGGAATTTTTTTGGCTCAATTGGGGCCATACGTCGAGGACTAACTTATATCCGTTCCTGTGAAAACTTGCAAAGAATTGACCTTCTCTATGATCTCTAGCTTAGCAGGTCTCCAAAGTCGAATTTCTCGCATAAATTTTCTGCCAGCCATTCTGTCTCCTTTTCACTTCTTGGTAATTTATAATTAAAAAATCTCGGCTCCTCATTCATCGGAGCCGCTTTGGAGGGTCCTGCAAATCAGGCTATAAAAGTCCAATAAACGGCCGCCTTGAGCTGTAAAACCCATCAACAGGAAGTTAAACTTTTATCATAGGAATAAAAAATAGATACCGAAACATTAAGGGAAATTTAAAAAGAATCTCACTTCTTTCAAAAAAAAAAAAAAGATGAGGAATTCTAAAAAGAGGCTTTTCCAGACAGAAAATAACCATAAAGGGGGGGGGGGGGGGGTTGGTGATTAAAAAGCCACTCATTTTCTACTTGCCTAATTTGGAAGGTGGGGTGACGCCAGTGTTCGGCAATATTCTGCAGGTAGTCCTCGACTTACAACAGTTTGTTTAGTGACTGTTCAAGGTTACAATGGTACTGAAAAAAAGGGAGTTTTTACCGATTCTCACACTTACAACTGTTGCAGCATCAGGGGTGGGCTGCTACCGGTGTCCAGCCCAAAATTGACATATGCGTAGCCATTTTATTTAGCCTTATTATATATTCCTTTTCTTTCTTTCTCTTTGTTGGTTATGGGGGGGGGGGGGGGAAGGGTTTCGAGCTTGCCACATTCCTAAGGTGGGAGGAGTGGAGATAGAGAGAGTTGTTTAGGCTAGGTAGTTCTTCTTCCCGTGGGAACGAAAGCTGACCCTGCTGAGACCTGGAGGTGGAGATTGATGACACCAGGAAACATTGATTTACTTCTATTGGGGAATGTGACTTTTGCGGGTTGTTTCTAACTTCCAATATTATGGGGTGTAATTCCGGGTTGTGTCAGATCTGGAATCACAACAGACTTTGCCAATTTGATGCTTTCCTAAATAAAAGAAATTGTCTTGGAAGATGGACTTTGCTCTTATCTTTTTAAATGGATTTCATCACTTGGAAACCTGACAACCGGTTCACCCCAGTTTGGGAGAACCCGTAACTAGTTTTATGACCGGTTTGGCAAACTGGCAAATCCCACACCGGGCTGGCCCCGCCCATCCCACCCCTCCCACGAGTCCCCACGTGGCCCGTTTGGATGCCAGGTAAGTGCAGACCATTTTGGCCCTCCCGGAGGCTCGAGGAAAGCCTCCGGAGCCTGGGGAGGGCGAAAAACGGGCCTCCTGGAAGTTCCGGAAGGGCAGAAATGGGCCTGTTTCCAGCCTCCGGAGGGCCTCCGGAGCACAGGGAGGCTGTTTTTGCCCTCCCAGAGGCTCGGGGAAAGCCTCGGAGCCCGGGAGGAGCAAAACACCCCTGCCGTGGGACAGGAGGCCAACTAGGCCATGTCCGCTATGGCCATCCAGCACCCGGGCAAAGACCCAGTTGTTGATAGTTTTGAACCCCTGTGCAGTATCTCCCATGGCCACTTGATCAGAATTTGGGTGCTTGACCACTGATTCATATTTATGATGGCTGCAGCTTCTGGGGCGGGAGGGGGTGTCACGTGATCCCCTTTTGCGACCTTCCGACAAGCAGAGTCAACAGGGAAGCCAGTTTCGCTTTACAACCGTGTTGTAAGCTTAACTGCAGTGATTCGCCTAACAATTGTGCGTGAAGAAAGGTTGTAAAATGGGGCGAAACTCACTCAACAACCGTCTCACTTAAAAATTGGGGGGAATATTATGCAGTCTGGAAAAAAATGGTATAACTGGTTGGATAGTAGGACAGTAGGAACAATAAATAAATAAATAAATGTGAATGTATGTATGTATGTATGTACATATTTAGTAGAAACTAGGAAAGTCAATGTCACAACGCTGCAAAGATTGTATTTGTGTTGTTTTGTTGTTGTGTTGTTTTTGTATTTAGGTTGTTTTTAACTGTGTAAAATTCAATAAAAAATTAATTTAAAAAAAAGAAAGAAATTGGGGACTCAATTGAGGTCATAAAGTCAAGAAGGACCGCTAGGAGAAATTGGGGAAACTGAAGAGAAAGGGGAAGCAAAGTTGAGATTAAAAACGAGGTGCTATTTTCTTAAATTCTTTCTTTCTTCTTCTGCAGGTTTCGTGGTGGGTCAGGCAGGATTGTACCAATCGCTGGTGATGTTTCTGGTGGCCTATTTCATCATCGGAATGACAGTCTTGTCGGTGTGCGCGATCTCCACCAACGGGGCTCTGGATGCCGGGGGGGCCTACTGTATCCTTTCTGCGCAAAGCCCCCAAAACTGTTCGAAACCACTCACTCCTTGAGAGACCAGCCTCTCCCAATCTCAGCACCTCCAGCACAGGGGCTGCCAGATCCTGAAATTGAGAAAAAATCGATTTAGGGCAGGGGTGTCAAACTCAAGGCCTTAGATCCAGGGGTGGGATTTGAAAATCCCAGCAACCGGTTCACTGCCCAGTTGCTTTGGGGGGGGGGGGCGTGGGGGCGTGGCCGACTGGAAGTTCTGAGCGGGCCGTTTTTTGTCCTCCCCGGACTCCGGAGGCTTCCCTCAGGCCTCTGGGAGGGTGAAAATGGCCTCCCCCAGGCTTTGGAGGCCCTCCGGAAGCCGGAAACAGGCCCGTTTAGCAACTTCCGGAAGGCCCGTTTTTCACCCTCCCAGAGCCTCCACGTGGATCCTGCACTTACTTACCTGCATCAAAAATGGACCGCGTGGAGACTCCTGGGAGGGGAGGAGGGTGGGGTGGGCAGGGCCAGCCGGTCGGTTCAACAACCCGTTCGTCAAACCAGATGACTGAGAATCTGCATAGACAAAGGTTGGAATTCTGATCTGACAGGGATGGGGCACCCCAATTCTCCCTTTCCTGGTCTCCCCAAGGTAGCAACATTCTTTGGTCCTTGACCCGCTTGGCACAGACATGATCAGCCGGGCGTTGGGCCCCGAATTCGGTGGAAGCATCGGCCTCATGTTCTTCTTTGCCAATGTTTGTGGCAGTGCCCTCTACATCTTGGGCCTGGTGGAGGCCGTGGTGGATGACTTTGGCAGCCCGGCAGGTGAGAAAGGCTCAGCTGAGGCAGCCCTTTACGTGTTTCCTGATGAACACATTTGATGAAAAGGTCTTGAGTTTTCAGCGGCTCCGGCCATTTTAGAGTAGAATAGAATAACAGAGTTGGAAGGGACCTTGGAGGTCTTCTAGTCCAACCCCCTGCCTAGGCAGGAAACCCTACACCACTTCAGACAAATGGTTATCCAACATCTTTTTAAAAAACTTCCAGTGTTGGAGCATTCACAACTTCTGGAGGCAAGTTGTTCCATTGGTTAATTGTTCTAACTGTCAGGAAATTTCTCCTTAGTTCTAAGTTGCTTCTCTCCTCGATTAGTTTCCACCCATTGCTTCTTGTCCTGCCTTCTGGTGCTTTGGAGAATAGCTTGACCCCCTCTTGTTTGTGGCAGCCCCTGAGATATTGGAAGACTGCTATCATGTCTCCCCTAGTCCTTCTTTTCATTAGACTAGACTAGACATACCTAGTTCCAGCAACCGTTCTTCATATGTTTTAGCCTCCCGCCCCCTAATCATTTTCATCAGACACGTTTAAAGCAGAAACAACCCTGTGAAACTTATGAGAACTTCTGCCTTTTCATCCAATTTGTTCCTTGAAAAGGTGCCATCAGACTCCCTCAAATGGTGGGCCGTCACAAATGAACATGGATGGCTCCCTTCCAAATTCCCAGAATCGAGAGATTTGTAAGAACATTGAAAGAAAAAGGCAGGACTAGTGGGTATGTCTAGACCAAGGGGTCTCCAAGCTTGTCAACTTTAAGACTTGTGGACTTCAACTCCCAAAATTCTGGGATTTGAAGCCCACAAAGTCTTAAAAGGCTGGCTGAGGAATTCTGGGTGTTCGAGTCCACAAGTCTTAAAAGTTGAGAAGTTTGGAGACCTTCTAGTCTAATGAAGAGAAGGACTAAGGATGACATGATAGCAATCTTCCAATATTGGAGGGGCTGCCACCAAGAGGGGCTCAACCCTCTTGGTGGCAGCCCCTCCAAACCATGGCAAGAAGCAATGGCTGGAAATTCATAAGGAGAGAAGCAACCTAGAACTAAGGAAAAAATTCCTGATAGTCAGTACAATTGATTGGTGGAACGACTTGCCTCTAGAAGTTGTGGGTGCTCTAATACTGGAGGTTTTTAAGAAACCAAAACAACTATTTTTCCAAAATAGTGTAGGATTTCTCCTTGGGGGCATTCTGGTGGCTCACTGGTTAAGACGCTGGGCTTGTCAGCTTAAAAGCCAGCAGCCCATGTTCGAGACCTGAGTCCCAAGCAAAGGGATGAGTTCCCATCTTCGCTCCAGCTTCTGCCAACCTAGCAATTCAGAAGCATGCAAATGCGAGAAGATAAATAGGTACCACTTTGGTGGGAAGGTAACAGAGCTCTGTGACGTCACCTCATCGCGGAAATGTTTTCGGATATCGCTGGCTCAATGGCCTTCAAACAGATGTGAACATTACCACATAAAGTGGAGTAAATTCTAAAGAGTCTCCTTTTTACCTTGTCCTTGAGCAGGGGTTGGACTAGAAGACCTCCAAGGTCCCTTCCAACTGTGTTATTCTGACAGCCCTAGGCCATTAGAGTTACAGTTTTCTTTACATGCTCTGCGTTCATTGGCAAATGTGTTTTAATAGCACTTCAAAATATATATATATATCTTTGAATAGAGACCGCAAAATAAAGAAAGGGGATAAGATTGCAGAATTGAGAATGCCAGGCTGCCTTTTCTTTTGGCAAGTCTGGGATACTTTTTCCTACAAAACATGGTCTGGGGAATTGCCAGCATATGGTGGGACTTCCATCCAATGTGCAAAGTCAAGGAGATGTTATTTGCAAATGGATAATGGGAAATTAGCTGGATCTCTAGGGTGGGAGCAGGGGAAAGTCCCTTGCATGGGTGTTTAATTTTTTATTTTCCTTAGTAATTTACATGCAGCCTGCTGCCCGAGTGGCTCCAGGCTACTTCCAGCGTGAAAAGCTATCAGATACAAGCAGGGGTTTGCAGTAAAGGAGGTTGAATAATATTCCAGGATTTAGGTAAATAAATCTCTTTTGAGCCTCTTTGTAAGCTGTAATAAGGAACAGGTTAATTTAAACTGGCCAACATGGGGAGCAGGCTTCAACATCAATAATTAGTTTTTCTTTCCATGTTTCTGTGTCTGTGCGTGTGTCTGTATGTGTGTTGGGGGGGGGATAAGTGTAAGGGGCACACAAGAAGGATAGTGAACGAAGAATGCAGAAGGGTAAAAGATATGCAACTTATCAGTTCTTTTTCATCCGATGATCTGCCTCTGCCAATGCCTGGCCTTTTTTTTGTCCAAGTACATATTTAAAACAAGATTGGATAATCTTTCCCTCCACCCCAAGTCTGTGCAAATTTGTGTCTTTCAATCCACCCAAAACAGGATGGTACACAGGGCATTAGAAGATGCTCCATGTATTTCTACATGGTTTCTATGCCCGCTTAAGGATCATACGTCTATGATGCTTAAGCTTTTAGTGTTTTTTAAAATAGACTGCTTTAAGGGGTGTGGACTTCAATTCCCAGAATTCCTCAGCCAGCCATGATAGAGTTAACCTGGAAATAAGGAGAAACTTTCTGACAGTGAGAACAATCAACCCATGGAACAGAAGTTGCCCTCGGAAGTTGTGGGAGCACCATCACTTGAGACTTTCAAGAAGAGATTGGACTGCCATTTGTCAGAAATGGTGTAGGGTCTCCTGCTTGGGCAGGGGGTTGGACTAGATGACCTACAAGGTCCCTTCCAACTCTGATTATCTGTCAAATCTGAGTTTCTAAGACAGACTGCCAGACCCATTGGTCCAGGGACAGCAAGAAGCAAGAAGGTGAAACTCAAAGTAACTCCATCTTCATTTCCTTTAGTATAAAATGAGACAGCTATAAACTTGGACAGGCTTTTGAAGAGTCTGTTAACCCTTGCTGGCTGGGGAATTCTGGGAGTTGAAGTCCACCCTTCTTAAAGTGACCAACTGTGAAAAACACTGCTCTGTTTGCTTCTGAGTCCTTCAAGGGAATTTTGGATTTTTGTGAGAGCCAGTGAAGGAGGCAACAGTGACTGTGTGTGCCTTTGTGAAATCTAACAGAGAAGAGCAACTAAGACGATTAAAGGCCTGGAGACTAAAACATATGAAAAACAGTTGCAGGGTTTGGGTTTTTGGCTAGTCTAGAGAAAAGAAGGACTAGGGGATACATGATAGTATATTCCAGCGTTTGAGGGGCTGCCCCAAAGAAGAGAGGGCTCAACTTATTCCCCAAAGCACCAGAAGGCAAGACAAGAAGCAACAGATGGAAACTAATTCAAGGAGAGAAGCAACATGGAATTAAGGAGGAACTTCCTAACGCTGAGGACAATTAATCAGAGGAACTGCTTGCCTGTCAAAGTTGTGGTTGCTCCATCACTGGAGGTTTTTAAGAAGAGACAGCCACTTATCTGAAATGGTGTAGGGGGATCTCCTGATTGACGGGGATAGACTTCCAAGGTCCTTTGCAACCCTGTGATTCTATGATTTTGTGATAGATAAATAAGATACATGACAAGACAGAAGGGTGGATGGATGGGATAAGCTTTCCTTGAGAAATTGTGGGTGCTTCCTGACTGGAAGTTTTCAAGAAGAGAGTGGACAGCCGCTTGTCTGAAATTGTATAGGGCCATGATGGTGAACCTATGGCACACGTGCCACAGGTCGCACGCAGAGCCATTTCTGCGAGCACGTGAGCCCCAGCGAAAATGGCCTGCACTGCACATGCGTGTGCCTCCTAGCTAATTTTCGGCCCGTTTGAGGCCTTTTTTGCCTTCCCAGAGGCTCAAGGGAAGCCTCTGCAGGCACGGGAGGCCGAAAAATGGGCCTTCCGGAAATACCAGAAGTGCCGAAATGGGCTTGTTTTCATCCTAAGGCTCGGCCTCATCCGGGCTCCAGAGGCCCTCCAGAGGCTGAAAACAGGCACCTCTGGTAGGCCCGTTTTTCAGCTTCCCAAGGCTGCAGAGTCTTCCCTTGAGCCTCCAGGAAGGTGAAAAAGGCCTCAAATGGCCCAAAAATTAGCTGGGAGGCGCACGCATGCGCAGTGCAGGTAAGGGAGCCAGGCGGGGTGTGGCGCATGCATGCCGCAGGGGGCGGGCCACATTGCATTGTGGGTGCCAGCACACCACAACAGAAAGGTTTGCCATCACTGGTACAGGGTCTCTTGCTTGAGCAGGGGCTGGACTAGAAGATCTCCAAGGTCCCTTCCAATTCTATTCTATTAACACAATTTTTGCCTGTACGCAGAGGGGACTATTGGAACAGCCACACAGGTCCTGCCCCGCGGCTACTGGTTTGATCTCTTGTATGCCACGGTCCTTCTGTTCCTGTGCCTTCTCGTCTGCCTTGTGGGTGCCGGCATCTACGCTAAGGCCACCTTCCTCATCTTCCTCATCGTCATGGTGGTGCTGGGCACTGTCTGCATCAGCTTCTTTATCGTGGGCGTCAGGGTCGTGGGGCTTCCCGCGACCACGGATGGCAACCGCACCGAACTCGCCAATGCATCCTTCACGGGATTCAAACTCAGCACCCTCCTGGATAATCTGCATGGTGAGTTGGGGGGGGTGCTCTTCTGCATCCCTTGGCCCTGGCTTGAAGGCAGGGCTGTGCAACGGTCACTAAACAAATGGTTATAAGTCAAGGACTACCTGTACAGCCATATAACCAGGGGTGGGATTCAAAAATCCCAGCAACCAGTTTGCTGCTGGTTTGCTGGGTGGGCGTGGCCATGGTGGGTGTGGCCTACTGGAACTTCCAGGAGGGCCGTTTTTCGCCTTCCCCAGACTCCGGAGGCTTCCCTCTGGGCTCTGGGAGGGTGAAAACGCCCTCCCCCAAGCTCTGGAGGCCCTCCGGAAGCCGGAAACAGTCCTGTTTCCGGACTTCTGGTACTTCCGGAAGGCCCGTTTTTCCCCCTCCCAGAGCCTCCGCACAGACCCTGCACTTACTTGCATTGAAAGTGGGCCACGTGGAGATTCCTGGGAGGGGCATGGCAGAGTGGGAAGGGCCAACCGGCTCGTTCAAATACCGGTTCGGCAAATCAGATTCAAATTTAACACCCAGTTCGCCCGGATGGTTCTGAAACAGTAGAATCCCACCCCTGCATACAACCATTCGTTTAGTGGCCATTGAAAGTTATGGTGGCACTGAAAAAAGTGGCTTATGACCGTTTTCATACTTATGACCGTTGCATCATCCCCATGGTCACATGATCAAAATCCAGCCCTTGGCATCTGGTTCATCTTTATGACGGTTGCATTGTCCTGGGGGTGACATGATTGTGTCTTGTCAACTTCCGACAAGCAAAGTCAATGGGGAAGCCTTATTCACTTAATGACGATGTTACTAACTTAACAACTGCAATGATTCACTTAATATAAGATCACACCTAGAGTACTGCATCCAGTTTTAGTCACCACATTATAAAAAAGATGTTGAGACTCTAGAAAGAGTGCAGAGAAGAGCAACCAGGATGATTAGGGGACTGGAGGCTAAAACATATAATGAGTATAGGAACTGGGCCTGGCTGGTCTAGGGAAGAGAAGGACCAGGGGAGACAGGAGAGCATCTTCCAATAGTTGAGGGGCTGCCCCAGAGAGGAGGAAGGGGTTCAAGCTATTTTCTAAAGCCCCCGAAAGCCTGACAAGGAATAATGGATGGAAACTGAACAAGGAGAGAATCAACTTGGAAATAAGGAGAAACTTTCTGACAGTGAGAACAATCAACCAATGGAACTGAAGTTGCCCTCAGAAGTTGTGGGAGCTTCATCACTGGAAGCTTTCAAGAAGAGATTGGACTGTCATTTGTCAGAAATGGTGTAGGGCGGTGATGGCGAACCTATGGCACGCGTGCGACAGGTGGCACACAGAGCCATTTGTGCCAGCATGCGAGCTGCAGGCAAACTTACCTCACTGCACATGTGTGCGCCTCACAGCTGATTTTCGGCCGGGTTTGAGGCCTTTTTTGGCCTCCCAAAGGCTTGAGGAAGGCTTCTGCAGGCTTTGCAGGTCGAAAACTAGCCCCGTTTCGTCACTTCCGGTATTTTCGGAAAAACAGGAAGTGACAAAACGGGGCTAGTTTTCGTCCTGCAAAGCTTGCAGAAGCCTGCAGAAGCCTTCCTCAAACCTTTGGGAGGCCGAAAAAGGCCTCAAACTGGCCGAAAATCAGCTGTGAGGCGCAGTGCAGGTAAGGGGGCAGTGGGGTGAGTGGGTGATTGTACGTGAATGTGTAGCGGGCGTGTGGGGGCGCGCATTGCCTTCTGGGTACTGGTACACAAGCACGAGCGTCCAAGCGCGACCATGCAAGCGCGTGCACAATTTTTGGCACAGGACCCCAAAAAAGGTTAGCCACCACTGGTATATGGTCTCCTGCTTGGATGGGGGGTTGGACTAGATGACCTAAGGTCCCTTCCAACTCTGATTATCTATTATCTGTTATATTCGTGGCAAGAAAGGTTGTTAAATGGGGCAAAATTCACTTGAGAACTGTCTCAGGGGCAGCTCTTTTGGGTTCAATTGTGGTCATACATTGAGGGTAACGTATACCAGATTAGAGGTTGCCTTGTGTCCCAAAGGTGCTTTTTTTTCCAGGAGGCAACTGGACTTCCTTGTTTTTTTCTTTAAAGACATTTTGCTTCTCATCCAAGAAGCTTCTTCAGCTCTGACCGGATGGTGGGAAAGAGAAGTTTCTCCAGTCAGAGCTGAAGAAGCTTCTTGGATGAGAAGCGAAACGTCTTCAAAGAAAAAAAAACACGGAAAAAGTCCAGCTGCTTCCTGAAAAAGCACATTTGGGACAACCATGACCTTGGATGACTGAGAATCTCCATAGACCGAAAGGGACTGGCAAAATTCTGATACTTCAGCCATTTTTAAAATGATGATTTTTAATGGGGATTTTGGCCTGAGATGATCAACTCTTGGGAAGGGTGACTTGGCTGACCTTGTGCCCATGTTTTGTAGGGGAGAAAAACCACATTTCTTTAGGAAAGATGGCTTGTTTTTAAGCCTGATGGTGGCAGTGGGAAGCCCCTAGCAGCTGTGAAGTGAACTAACCCTAAGGCATTTTGCTGCCTAAAGAATAGGGCTGGTCTATCTTGGGAAATGGGTGTGGTGGCTCAGTGGCTAAGACGCTGAGCTTGCCGATCAGAAAGGTCGGCAGTTCGGCAGTTCGAATCCCTAGCGCCGCATAACGGAGTGAGCTCCCGTTACTGGTCCCAGCTTTGCCAACCTAGCAGTTTGAAAGCATGTAAAAAAGAGGCAAATAGAAAAATAGGGACCACTTTGGTGGTAAGGGAACAACGTTCGGCATTTAGTCATGCCGGCCACAGTATCACCGAGACGTCTTCGGACAGCGCTGGCTCTTCAGCTTTGTGACGGAGATGAGCACTGCCCCCTAAAGCTGGAAGCGACTAGCATGGATGTGCTAGGGCTGTGATGGCGAACCTATGACACGCCTGCCACAGGTGGCATGCAGAGCCCTTTGTGCGGGCACACGAGTCCCAACCAAACTTACCTGCACTGTGCATGTGCGCACCTCCCAGTTGATTTTCGGCTCATTTGAGGTCGTTTTCGCCCTCCCAGAGGCTCGAGGGAAGCCTCTGCAGCCTCGGGAGGCCAAAAAACGGGCCTTCCGGAAATACCTCTGGAGTCTCTGGAGCCCAGGGGAGGCCGTTTTCGTCCTCCTGGGGGCTCGAGGGAAGCCTCTGCAGCCTTTGGAAGCCAAAAAACAGGCCAAAAATGCCCCCAAACGCCCCCCCAAACGCCCCCAAAATAGCAACAGAAATGTTGTGCTCAGTGGTGGTCATAAGCCGAGGACTACCTGTATACGTGTGACCAAGTGTGCAAAGTTGAATTTGGAGTGACAATTATTGAGCCACAAGGCATCCTTCTGTGGGGGGGGGGGAGGTTGGTGGTTTGGCGGTTTGAACCCCCAGTGCCACGTCACGGAGTGGCATCTACATCTGACGGAACAGCTCCTCGGTCATTAAATGAAGAAGAATGGTGTTTAGGGACCGCCCCCTGCTTTTTTTTTTTGTCATCCTTGTTGTGGCAATCCAGCATGCTGACAATTCTCTTTTTGCAGCGGACTACAGTGTCGATTACACAACTGGCCGGCTGATGAGCTTCAGCACTGTCTTTGCCGTCATGTTTAACGGTTGCACAGGAATCATGGCTGGGTCAAACATGTCAGGTGCGTGGGAATCTCCCCGGCTGGGAGGGGAGGATGGGTGATAGGGAAGGTCAAGGCAGGAGGGCCCCTCCTTTCCCCTGGGATGCTCCTTGAGCAACGTCTCGTCTCGTTCCAGGCGATCTCAAGCGGCCCAGCTATTCCATTCCTCGGGGCACCATCATGGCCGTGATGTTCACCTACATCGTGTACAATTTGTTGGCGGTTCTCCTGAGCTGCACCTGTGACAGGTAGGTAGGTGGTGGGCTGCCCACCAGGTGGCGCACCTATTCTACAGCAATCCTATGTGAGGAAGAAATCCTCTGATCAAGGTTTCTCAAGCTCAGCAACTTTGAAGTGGCGCGGACTTCAACTCCCAGAATTCCCCAGCCAGCATGCGCTTTCATGCTTCTTAAAAGTTGCTGAGGTTGAAAAACCTTCCTTCCTTCCCTCACTTTTCCTTGCTTGCTTGCTTCCTTCCCCCTTTTTCTTTCCTTCGTTCCTCCTTTTCTTCGTCCTTCCCCCTTTTTCTTTCCTTCCTTCCTCCCTCCATCCTTCTTTTTCTTCTCCCCTTTCCCTTCCTCCCTCCCTCCCTCCCCCTTTCTTTCTTTCCTTCCTTCCTTCTTCCCTCCTTTTTCCGCCCTCTCTCCCTCCCTCCTGTCTTTCTTTCCTTTTCTTTTTCTTCCTTCCTTCACACTCACTCACCTTTTTTCCTTCTTTCCTTCCTCCCTCCTCCTTTTTCTTTCCTTCCTTCCTCCCTCCCTCCTTCTTTCCTTCCTTCCTTCCTTCCTTCCTTCCTTCCTTCCTTCCTTCCTTCCTTCTGTCTATCTTTTTTCTTTCTTTCTTTCCTTTCTTTTTCTTCTTTCCTTCCTTCACACTCACTCACCTTTTTTCCTTCTTTCCTTCTTTCCTTCTTTCCTTCTTTCCTTCCTTCCTTCCTTCCTTCCTTCCT